AACTTGGAGAGAACCTGTCTCTAAATAAAATATAAAAAAGGGCTGGGGAGGGGCTAGAGTTGTGGCTCAGTGGTAGAGTGCTCGCCTAGCATGCATGAGGCACTGGGTTTGATCCTCAGCACCACATAAAAATAAAAAAGATATAGTGTCCACCTAAAACTAAAACTAAAGAAAGAAAAAAAAAAAAAAAAGCTAGGGAATGTGGCTCAGTGGTTAAATGCCCCTGGAGGGGAGGCTGTAGTTGAAGTTATAGAGCAGACTCTGGAGAGTCAGAGTCAGGTACTTTCTGCAAGATGTGTTAGGGTTGGTGTTGGTGACTTGTTATAACTGGTGTAGGGTAACTTTACTAGAAGGTTTCTTGAATCATTCTGCCCACCCCTACACCTACCTTGGTCACATACACAAGACAGCTGGGAGGAGGAAAAAGGCTTTGCCTCTTTTCTAGGAGTTTTACCAGCCACCACCCTTATCCCCATGTCTGCATTTTCACTTAACCTGTATGGGAAGAGAAGTTAACAGATGTGATTGGAGCATAGTGATTGGAGCATAGAGCAGCTATGATCCCCTGGAGGCTATTACATGTGTCCCTAAGTCCTCAGAGCTAGCACTTTATCCTCTATTTTTAGTCTGTAGTTCCAATAGTGAAGTGTCAGCAGCAGCCCTCCTTTGAAGCATTTCTAATTGGAATAAATGTGGCTCTCTTACTGCTGATTTTAGTCCCTGTGCAGACTTCCTTTAAAGTGAAGTCAGGACTTTTATTTAATAAACCTTGGTTTTTCTTATCAGGACCATACTAAGTGTGCATATTTAAATAAAAAGAGTCAATGTATGTCTTCAGACAGCTATTTATTTGTGAATCTAGGACTCTGCTTCCTAACGAGAAAGAAGTGACACCTGAGTGGCTGTGCTAGGTCATCCATGCAATCTGTCTTCCTTCTCCATGATGGTTGATATTGCTTACAGAGTGGTCTTAGGGATCAGGCGCCTATGTTCTGCCTCAGGAATATTGGCCCAAGAGCTGGTCTTTGCCTGAACTTTCAGCTTTTACTGTGTTGAGATACTGTGTTTTCCTGAAGGAAGAGATGAGTGTGCAGAATTCCAAAGTCCATAGTTCTAATCTTTGATGTCTGTGAAAAGGAATCTTTTTCTTTCTTTTTTCTCTTTTTCTTCCTTCCTTCCTTTCTTCCTTCCTTCCTTCCTTTGTTTCGTATTAACCACTGAGCCACATCCTGAGCTCTTTTTAATATTTTATTTAGAGACAGGATCTCACTGACTTGCTTAGGGCCTTGCTAAATTGCTGAGGCTGGCTTTGAATGCGTGATCCTCCTTCCTCAGCCTCCTGAGCTGCTGGGATTACAGGCATGTGCCACCATGCCCGGATGAAAAGGAACCCCTTTCTGAATGCCTTTGTTTAAAAATTGTTTCCTAAATTGCCATGGGAATCCATGTGGGACGTCCAAGGCATTAGGGTAAGAGCTGTAGCAAATCCTGAAGCACTTGTGTTGGTAGAGGACTAGTTCCCTTTTATGTGAGGAAAGATAAAACTTCATTCTGAATTGTAGTGACACAGTGATTAAAACCTGAACCCTTAGCCAGGTGTGGTGCATTATGCCTATAATCTAGCTTTTTGAGAGGCTAAGGTAGGAGGATCTCAAGTTGGAGGCCAGTCAGGGCAACCTAACGGGACCCTGTCTCAAAATAAAGGGCTGAGAATGTAGTTAGTGGTAGAGTGCTTGCCTACCATGCGCAAGACCCTGGGTTCAGTCTCCAGTACTCAGGGTAGGACCCAGACCCTTAATCTGTGGTCTCCAAATTTTTCTTTTTTATCTTATGGATTTGCCATCAAAGTTTTGGGTATGTTTCAGTGATGAGTTTGTTCCCTGAAAGAGTTGGCCATATTGGCCAGTACAAGCCTCATCACCTGGAATTTAGGCCCTTTGATTCACTGTAATCTGATGACTATTAGGGGTTCTCTATATCTCTCAATGTGCCACGGTAAAACCTGCAAGGGGCTTCCTGTGCTGCCTTGGGTGGAATCATTTGCCATTTTCACAAGCGGGTAAGGAGATGTAGCTATTTCTTCTTGGCCCCAAGTACTACTCTTGGGGAGTCACAGAGTCTCTGACCAGCTCTCTTTAGGCATCAGATTCTACATCCAGTAACCTACAGTAAGTGTCACATGGACGTTTCACATGCACTACAGCACAGCCAAATCTGAACTCTTCTTCCCTTTGCTTCCTAAACTGTGCCTTCTGCTGCACTCCTGACCCTTTGCCCAGGCACCAAGCAAAGAACTGGAGTGCTGCCTTTAATCTTTCCTCTTACCCCTTAGAGCACCTCCAGCCTGTCATTGGTGTTACTGACATCTCCCAATTTTACCCCTTTCAGGCACAGGGTGTAGAAAGAGGGTAGAAACAGACAGCTCTTAACAGAATGCCTTGGAGGTCTCACATGGATTCACATGGCAACTCAGGACACACTGTCACTGACCATTTTAATCTACTTTGACCCTCCTCTAGTTTAACTCATACTTCTTTCTAAACACAGATCAGATCACTTCTCTTTTCTGTTACCATTACTTCTTCATTACTTCTCAGGAAAGCCCAGTCCTCAAGCCCAGTCTTCAATAGAACTTGTGATGCCTTTCATAATTTGGTTCCTCTTCCAAAATCTTCAGCCCCCAACCTTGGCTTTGTCCCACTAAACTGCCCATTACCAGGCTTATTCTGGGATTCTGGGCCTTAGAATGTGTTATTCTCTGCCTAAGTCACCATTCCCACCTGTGCTTACTTGACTCATTTTGATTCAAAATTCTGAGTGGGGGTGAGGTCACCTCCTTCTAAAGGCTTCCCTAATCCCTGTCTTGCTCTCTATGTGTCTACTGTTGTTTCTCAAGCTTAATACCATGCTTTATTGAAATTATCTGTTTTTATGTTTTTTCTTTACTTAGACTATGAGTTTGATGACCATGTCTTACTTGACTTTTTTTTTTTTTTTGGTGTTAAAATATAGCCTACGTTTGTTTTATTTCATTGTTTATTTGTTTATTCATTTCTGTATTCCTAACATTTTATAGATGTTCAGTAAATGTTTGATATGAATTGACCATTTCACTCCCAATTCTGTATAGCCATAATTAGGAAACTCTTAGCTCTTTTCAAACCATGGGGCCCTCAGATAAGACCTAGAGAAGGACAGTCTAGGTAGAAAGGTGGAGACTTCTGGAAAGCAGTAACTTCATTATTTTTACAAGGTATCAAGGAAACATGGTATCCTGATCTACAGCTGAAATCACATCTGGATCAATGTGCTGATGTTCTTTCTGAGATCAAGGCCCTCCCTGTCCCTGTGTGTTTTTTTGGTGGCACTGGAGACTAAACTCAGGGATGCTTTACCACTGAGCTACATCTCCAGCCCTTTTAATTAATTAATTAATTTTTAAATATTAATTTTATTTAAAAAATATTTTCTAGTTGTTGTTGTACCTTTATTTATATTTATTTATATATGGTGCTGAGGATCGAATCTAGTGCCTCACACATGCTAGGCAAGCGTTCTGCCACTGAGCCACACAACCTCAGCCCCCCATTTTTAATTTTTGAGACAAGTTCCCGCTAAGTTAGCAAGGCTAGCCTCAAACTTGTGATCCTACTGCCTCAGCCTTACAAGTTGCTGGATTTATGTGTGTGTAGCCAGACTAGTTTTGCAACTACCTGGTGGTACTGTGCTGAGGTTTGTGGTTCTAAGTTTGCTGGGATGGGTTCTAGTCAACTTTGGGCCTCATGTGGATTTCAGCCATGTAGTAAGCTGGGGAAGTGAGAGACCCTAGGACAGAGTATTCAACTGCCTGAGAGAAGTTTGTACATTAGCAAAACTGTGGAAATCATCCAGGAAAGAGTGAGGCTAGGGCAGAGGCCTAGGGAAGTGGTTTGTTGTTTGTTGTGGGGGAAAATCAACCCTTGCAGGAGGCCTTGAGGGCTGGAAACACTGTCCAGGAGGGAGGCCTTGGAGAAAGAGCTTTCTGAGCCCTGGTGGCTGAAAACACTTGTTTCAGAAAATATGAGTTAGAATAATAAGAGGAGTGATTTTAACATTTAAGAAATGGGACTTCAACAAGAAAGGACCCAGTCAGAGTAGAGAGGAGGGTGGGGCTGTGACAGCTGATCCTATTGCATACTCCTATCCATTCTGAGGCTTAAAGAATAGCATAAGACTGAGACCAAGGAGACTAGGTCAAGGCTATGGAGCTAAGACCCAGTCTTTCATCTAGACTCTACAATGAGCCTTCTACTCCAAGTGTTCAGGGGCCAAAACCATCTTCCCTTCCAGGGAAACATATTAGAGTCAGATTTTCTTTTCTATATTTAACCCAGAGATGCTTTACCACTGAGTCACATGTCCATCCCTTTAAAAAAAAAAGTTTTGTTTTTTTAAAAATTTTTTTAGTTGTGGACAGATATAACACCTGTATTTTATTTATTTATTTATTTATTTATTTACTTATTTAATATGGTGCTGAGGATCAAACCCAGTGCCTCACATGTGCTAGGCAAGTGTCCTACCACTGAGCCACAACCCCAATGCACATCTCCATCCTCTTTTTTAAATTTTAAGACAGGGTCTTGCTGAGTTGCTGTGGCTAGCCTTGAACATGCAATACCTCTGCCTCAGACCCTGGAGTTGCTGCATTTATAGGTATCCACTACTGTGCCTGGCTTAGGTTTTTTTCAGTCTTTTTTTTTTTTTTTAAAGAGAGAGTGAGAGAGGAGAGAGAGAATTTTTAATATTTATTTTTTAGTTCTCGGCGGACACAACATCTTTGTTGGTATATGGTGCTGAGGATCGAACCCGGGCCACACGCATGCCAGGCGAGCGCGCTACCGCTGAGCCACATCCCCAGCCCCTTTTTTCAGTCTTAATCAGACTACATGTATCAAAGGTTGGGGGTGGGAAGATGGCAGCATCCTTTCAGAGATGTCTCTGGTAATGCTAATTTGCCCTCTCCTCTGTCTGCGTAGGTGTAGACGGGGCACTGCCTGCAGAGCAGGTCCTGCCGGCCTCGCTGGAGAGGATGCCCCCGTGTCCGTGATGGGCTGTGGGACAAGCAAGGTTCTTCCTGAGCCGCCCAAGGATGTCCAGCTGGATCTGGTCAAGAAGGTGGAGCCCTTCAGTGGCACTAAGAGTGATGTATACAAGCATTTCATCACAGAGGTGGACAGTGTTGGCCCTCTCAAAGCTGGGTTCCCAGCTGCTAATCAGTATGCAAACTCCTGTTCTGGTGCCCCCACTACTGGCCACACAGAGCCTCCCTCAGAACCACCACGCAGGGCCAGGGTGGCAAAGTACAGGGCCAAGTTTGACCCACGTGTTACAGCTAAGTACGACATCAAAGCCCTCATTGGCCGAGGCAGCTTTAGCCGAGTGGTACGTGTGGAGCACCGGGCAACCCGGCAACCATATGCCATCAAGATGATAGAGACCAAGTACCGAGAAGGGCGGGAGGTGTGTGAATCAGAGCTGCGTGTGCTGCGCCGGGTGCGCCATGCCAACATCATTCAGCTGGTGGAGGTGTTTGAGACGCAAGAGCGAGTGTACATGGTAATGGAGCTGGCCACTGGTGGTGAGCTGTTCGACCGCATCATTGCCAAGGGTTCCTTCACTGAGCGGGATGCTACGAGGGTGCTGCAGATGGTGCTGGATGGTGTTCGATACCTGCATGCCCTGGGCATCACACACCGAGACCTCAAGCCTGAGAATTTGCTCTACTACCATCCAGGCACTGATTCCAAGATCATCATCACTGACTTTGGCCTGGCCAGTGCCCGCAAGAAGGGCGATGACTGCCTGATGAAGACCACCTGTGGCACGCCTGAGTACATTGCTCCTGAGGTCCTCGTCCGCAAGCCATACACCAACTCTGTGGACATGTGGGCACTGGGTGTCATTGCCTACATCCTGCTCAGTGGTACCATGCCCTTTGAGGATGACAACCGCACCCGGCTATACCGGCAGATCCTCAGGGGCAAGTACAGTTATTTGGGGGAGGTGAGTCTGTCTTGCCCCTGTCCGAGGGATGTTGAGGAGGTCCTTAATGGGGGATATAACCTTCTCAGTCTAAAGACCCTTGTTCAGGAGACACATGCAAGTAATGTAAAAATAACAAGGTGAGATTAGCAGAATGTCTTAGTTTGGGTTCCCCAAAAGTGAGCCCAGAGGCAAGGACTTGGGAGCAGATAATTTATGTGGGAGGTGATTCCAGTCACCACAAATAAAGGAATGGGGGAACTAAGGCAAGAAAGAGAGAAAACCAATAATGAGTACAGTAAGAAATGGGCTGCTGAAACTCAGTCCCATTAGGACTTTGTAAATATCATGTAAATATGCTTTATAATTGTACTGCTGAGCCAGGTGCAGTAGTCCCAGTGATTGAGGAAGCTGAGACAGGAGAATCAAAAGTTCCAGGACAGCCTGGACAACTTAGCGAGACCTTGTTTTTAAAAGAAAAAGACTGGGGGCTAGGGTTGTGGCTCAGTGGTAGAGCACTTGCCTAGCATGTGTGAGGCACTAGGTTCAATTCTCAGCACCACATAAAAAAAATAAATAAATAAGCAAATAAAATAAAGGCATTGTGTCCATCTATAACTAATAAAAATATTTAAAAAAAAAAAAGAAAAGGACTGGGGATGTAGTTTATTGGTAAAGCACCCCTGAGTTCAATCCTGGTACCACAAAAATAAATGAATAAATTAATTTTAAAAAATAAATTTAAGGGACTGTGGCTCAGCGGTAGAGCGCTCGCCTAGCATGGGTGAGGCCCTGGGTTTGATCCGCAGCACCACATAAAAATAAATAAATGAAGATATTGTGCCTAACTACAACTAAAATAAATAAAAAATTTAAAAAATAAATTTAAAAAGGGCTGGGGATGTAGCTCAGTGGTACAGCACCCCTGAGTTCAATCTCCAGTACCACCAAAACAAAACAAAACAAACTGCTAAAGGGTACTAAGTTGTAGTTGGACACAATACCTTTATTTATTTATTTATTTTTATGTGGTGCTGAGGATCGAACCCAGCGCCTTACATGTGCTAGATGAGCGCTCTACCGCTGAGCCACAACCCCAGCCCTGTTTTTTGTTTTTAAATGCATTGATTTTGTACATTATTGGTTGAGCATTTCTTGGGAGCATTAAATTTCTGGTGCTTCTGGATTGTCCTGAATGCCAACTAGTGCTGGCATTCAGAGAAGCAGAGAGGTGCAGCCCCTGGCAGTGGGAAGTTGTGACAGTGCATGGCAGCTGCATGTGGAATCAGAAGTACCTATCAGAGTGGCCCAATCCTGCAGATATAAACGGATGGTCATGAGCTCCATGAGGCTCCAGGCAAGTTAGAAAGAACGTGTCCCATCTTAGGGAACATTTGCTTCTCTTTGCAGTTTTGTCAGGAAATAAAGAGGGTCCCATGTATCCAAATCTTCTTCTTATTGAAAGATAAACTAGATAGTCTGAGTTTAAGATTTTGGAATCCAGCCGGGTGTGGTGGCAAGCCTGTAATCCAAGTGGCTTGGGAGGCTAAGACAGGAAGATCGTGAGTTCAAAGCCAGCCTCAGTGAAAGCGAGGTGCTAAGCAACTCAGTGAGACCCTATCTCTAAATAAAATACAAAATAGGACTGGGGATGTGTGGCGATGTGGCTTAGTGGTCCAGTGCTCCAAGTTCAATCCCCAGTCCAAAAAAAAAAAAGGACTGAGGTTGTAGCTCAGTGGTAGGGCGCTTGCCTTGCATGTGTGAGGCACTGGATTCGATCCGCAGCACCATATAAAACAAATAAATAAAGATTAAAAAAAAAAAGATTTTTGCAAATCCAGGTCACATATTAAATAGTATCTGTATGCCAGCAAACATTAACCTGTGGCCCATATTCAACCAGCAGGCCATCAGTTTGTGTTTTTGGATCCATTGATATTTCTCATGTCTGCAAAAATATCAGGTTTCAGCACTGCTGGTTGCCAAACAAAGGTATGGAGAAAGAGCTGGTGAATCCTTAGAAAGATGCTAACTGGGTACTTGACAAAGCTGACTGCAGGCAACTGTAAGCACCTTTTAGATAATGGTGTACTTAGGGAACCCATAAAGAAAAGAATTATGATGGCTTTGGTGGGCTGAGTTTTGTGCATCAACTGGACATTAAGGATACTGCCATGGCTATTCCCCACTGAGTGTTCCCTTCAGGCCTGGGCCTGCCAAGATGCTGTCTGTGTCTTTTATGTAACCTGTATGGATGGGAAGTAGCTTTGGGAGAAGCTTCCTTGTGCAGTCCAGCTTTCCTTACAAGGGTTTGGGTCAGGACCTCTTTCTTGATTCCAAGAGCTAGCCTAGATCAGTGTTTCCTGCAGGAATCACCCAATAGACCCATGTTACCAACTTAAGTATTTGAGATTCTTCATCACTTTCCTGTCAGCTTCTAGATGTGGTTATGGACTTAGTTCCCTTCAGGGTTAGGTGGATCTCCAGGTTACAGGTCTCACAGGTGGTACAAGTTAGAAAGGAAAGCCTTCCTCTTCATGCCAGCTGTAGTGCAGACATAGTTCTAGAAGAGGGGTAGAGGCAGTAAGGCCAGTGGTAACTGTTTACACTACAACTGTGATCTATGGGCTCTGGAGTGAAGAAGTAGATCACTTGGTGCTTTCCACAGTGTGGTCAGGTCTGGCCCACTGTCATTCTCAGATGTTAAGTAGATGGGCATGTTTTGCAGAAAATTTGACTCTCATATACCTACTGTGCTGGGCAGTAAATGAGACCATACTGGTAATTAGCAAGAGCTTAGGGTGCTGGAGAATTGTAGCCTACTACTCAGTTAAAATCCAGGAGTGACTGAGCATATTGGCACATGCCTGTAATCCCAGTAGCTTGGGAGGCTGAGGCAGAATTGCAAGTTCAAAGCCAGCCTTAGCAACTTGGTGAAACTCTCAGCAACTTAGTGAGTCCCTGTCTTTTTTTTTTTTTTTCTTTTTGTCCTTCTTTCTTTCTTT